CTTTACGGCGGCTCCCTTCGCCTTGCTGGCAAGCAAAAGGTTTTCAGGCTGAAAAATAACAACATTTGTAGGGCTGAAAAATAAAAGAAGACATAACAAATACTAGGAATGCTGTAAAAGTCTACTCAGCACTCAAATGCAATCGTTAGTGCACTCCTTTCCACTCTCTAGTTATCCAGCCATCACAACAAAATGGTGACAAGTTGATGATTCGGAAGCCCTGAACTTTTTAACCAAAAAAGTCACTGAGGAGCTTCCCAAAATAAAGTTCCCAAGATTTGTTCGGCTTAGGCTGAAAACATCCGCTACGTGAATAACGATGTCCCCTCCCCTTTTTTCACATGAAAAGATTGTCGACTACCAAAAGAAATGCGTAAAACAGAAGCGATGCTTCGCTTGTAAGCATTCAATGTACACATTGAAAAAAAGGCATTTTCTGTCAACTTGCAAAAGAGGGGTGCCTGATGTCATGTCAAGCGGTTTACTACTAGAGGGACGGTACGTGTGAGCGAGGGTACTCGTCGACGGAAACGAGCTACCGAAGTGACTGGGACATAAACATAACTTGAGAAGATTGAAGAAACCGAGTGCTAGCTACTTTGGGAACCCCGAAAGGAATTTCGTATCGATATGCAGGACAGCAATGGCGGCAATAACGTCCGTGCACCGCTGTATATGACAAATGGGATGTTATTCGCCAATCCACAACGTTACAAGGTTGGAATTGGAGGTGAGCAGGGGTTTAGCACCTAGTATACGTCGGTGACTGCCTGAGTGACTGAGACTGGTGAAAATAAAAACCATTACAATAGACAGGTTCTCTGTAACGTGCAATAGGTGAACCCATTTTTGTAAGGTTAATGGTTGAGGCAGTTTTCACACGGGCGGCTTGCCGATGAAGCATTCCTCGCACAGGAAGACGTCAGTTGCTTGAGAAAGTCATCAGCACGGGAGATGTACAGCGAATATTGTAGACAAGGAGGGATTTGATATTCCAAGCTACTTCAAATCCTGCAGCAGACTGGACGACATATAGGCCGCGCGTTTTTGTGCAGGTGGAGCCGTCCTTTCGCTTTGACTGAAAGCGAGTAGAGGCGTTGAGTTTTCGGAGTACTTCGTCAAATCTCTGAATTAGCTACCGCAGTCGTCCTCCGCCGTATCCACAACTCTATGATGAGCCCCGTCACACATCACCGGTCAATGAGCAACGGTTTTTTACGCAGTGCTGGCTTCAAGAAAATTTGCGGAGCTTCGGCTGCGTTTATACTTTGTTGCGCCGCGTAGTTAGCGTAGCGCTTCCAAGCGTACGCCAGGCGCAGCTGCCCAAGAGAGGATGCATCCTCTCTAGCTTCGCTGGAGAAACGCTGGCGTACGCTAGCGGCACGCTAGCGTACGCCAGCGTTTCTCCAGCGTTTCACCAGCGTTTTGCTAGCGTTTGCAGCGGCAGGGGAGTAGAGACTATGGGAGAGCTGGAGGGTACAAAACATCGATTGCGCGTCTCTCACTCGCCCTTAGTCTCTACAATGCACATCGCTTCTGCGTCTCCGACGGCCACATAGTCTCTACAATGCACATCGCTTCTGCGTCTCCGACGGCCACATGGTCTCTACAATACACGTCGATTCCGCGTCTCTCACGGCCACATAGTCTCTACTCCCTGCCGCTGCAAGCGCTAGCAAAACGCTGGTGCCGCTGGAGAAACGCTCGAGAAACGCTGGTGAAGCTAGATCGATAGCTATGCTTCCCGTGCCCTCGCTACGCCAGCGTGCGCTAGCGTGCCGCTGGCGTACGCTAGTACGCCAGCGTGCCGCTGGTGACGCTGGTGAAGCTAGATCGATATGCATCCTCTCTTCGGCACTGCCGCTGGCGTACGCTGGAAGCGCTACGCTACGCTGCCGCAAAGTATAAACGCAGCCTTCTTTTGGCCCAACCACTGCAATTAGACGATCTTCCGCGGTTGTGGTAGAGCACCTGCTCCCCAGCGCATGTGACAATACGTTTCTGAAAAAGGCCAGAAGAACTGGGGGCGACAGCTCTCACCGGCTTTGGCTCGCGCACAATTTGTTCTTGTGGGCCCAAATTTCTTGATTTCTTTGACTCCCCAGATTTCTCAGGGTATTTCTGAAGAGCAGATATGATTGCACCGCGTTCTCCGGCAAGTTCTCGCACGCTTCGACACAAATCTTCTTTGGCAAAGAGGTTCCGTCACTAGCAGGACGACGTATTTGAACTTGGTCATCTCCAAGCTCAAGCCACTGCAGAACGTCTGAAACCGACGAGTGCACACTGAGTTCGTTCATATTTCAAGCTCTCTTGACTGCACACACATCAGCTGAGCTTGGGTCCGAAGAAGTGGGTACGTCGAAATTCCCGTTTTGACTTTTCTTTCTAAACTGAAATATTTCACATTTTTTCTACTGGTTCTATTGTTCACTTGCAAAGGTAGATGGCGCGCAAAAAATACTTTCTAAAAATGACTTTTACTTCCTAAAGCGAGAGCAAAGAACCGAGAGCTTTACGATGATTTTCAGGTAGAGCGATTCTGCTCTTCAGGAGACGCAAGCCAAGAAACTGTGACTCAAAAGCAGGCTTGCCAGTGTAAATGACAAAATGACCCACACACCTTTAAATCCCTGTGCACAATGCAGTTTTGATGACAGTAGGCGATTGATTCGAGAATTTGCTGGATGCAATGACTGAAACGGCACACAAACTGGTTAGTCACTCGCAAAACCATCAAACACAGTGACAACAAAAGAAAAGTCAACGCTAATTTTGTAAATTCAGCTGTGTAAACCACCGTACACACTTAGTAGTATCTTTCTAACCGTAACTAAGGATGCTTAACACTTCATCTGCCTAGTTTTTTTTTCCTACTTATTGAAAAGAAGTGAAAAGAAGTCCGTAAAAGCCAGCTCTTACAGGGCCACTGGTGGTTTTATCTCCGAAATAACCGACACATAACGCATACGATCATAAGTTACCCTCTCTTACAATGGGTACTTGGATAGTTGGAGTATATTACAGAGACACGGCACTATTTCCTCTTTACTGCCCCGCTCATACGAAATCAGGCCAGTTTGGCGCCGGCCCCAGAATACTTCAAATCACCAAGTTCGCTGAAAGCTTGCTCTTAAGCGGTAGTTTGACCTCCCTGAACACGAATATCACTTCCATTTTGCATGAAAAAACCCTCACTTCTCTACGAGTCGTATGATCAATGCTTCTTCAGAAAATCCCCGCACTCGCTCAGCGTTCACACGCAAACTCGCGGAAAATGGGATTTCCCTCAAAATCCTCGTGCCCGGCGCAGGCGCCAGGTTTTAGGTCAAGCGGATGCGATATTCGTGTTCAGCGGGTCAAACTACCCCTGGAGCCAAGTTTTCAGCAAATTCTGCCCACGGAGAAAAAAGTCGGTCAGGAACTGGCCTGATTTCGGATGACTGGGGCAGTAAAGGGTAAATAGTGCCCAGAGACACAAATTTGAGACTCAGCGGCTTTATTACTTCACTTTTCGCTATTTGGTTAGAATCACCTTTCCTTTTTGATACTGTAGCGTGTGAAAACCTCTTTTCGTCCATATACGATCCATTCTGCATGTGAGCCACCCCAAGTCTTTCTTGAATACCACTGCTTCCCACAGTATTCTTTTGAGGGATCCTCTACACTTCCGTGTCCTCAACGGACTCATAAAGCCCCTCTTGCAAAGGAAAACCTCTTCAGATGGCGGAAAAGGTGTGGTTTTAGGTGAGCCGCTCATTACGCGCTTTGTCAGGGCTTTGTCACACTCCACTTTTCTTTTTGCCCACGACAATCAAGCACCCACCGTGGTGGCTCAGTTGCTAGAAACCTCGCACAGGAGAACGAAAAACTTCCTTGGGCACTTTCTGTACATCGCAGGTACTGTATAGAGCAAATCGCATTTTAAAGATGCAAGCTCTAAAAGAGAGTGGAATGCCGCGCATTTTAGAAAGCAATAATCAACGCTGAAAGGGCGCATGCTTAAAACCTTTAGTGATCACAGCAGTAACCGGCAGGACAGATGGACAGATGACATATGAAACTTATTTAAACATAAACAAGAAATCGTTATAGTTTTCAAATGCACTCCATTAGATCCAGTACGCACAATCATATTCAAAGCGTTAGCCCATTCTCAACACAACTGATAGGAAATTCTTTTTCAAGTCGGTCAAACCTTCATATCTCTGTGGACAACACCACGTTGATGACAGTAATCAACACCTTCGAGAACTTGCCAAATACAGTAGCTAAACATGGAAAAAAACCTTTACTGATGAAAATAAGTGAACTTTCAGGCTCAAAATCCTTCTGGGAAATTTCGGTTTTGTCTTTGGCGAATTACTCGTCAGCCAAGACCTCTACGAGGTTTAGAATTGGATGACGCAAGACTTATACGAAAAGTGCATGCTGGCTATGGCAGCACTTATGGTGAAGCTACGTTCCCAGAGTTGGTTCACTCGTCACTTCCCCATCGCAGGAGCAGCATAGAGGTAGGCAAACAAGCTTCTTTTACTCCCACCATATATGTCTCTCCTAGACAGAATGAGGTGTGGTGTTCTAAGGTGTGCCCGTTGGACCCGGGTATATGTACCTAAGGACCTCTTTCTCTGTACACGAGGGACAGTTAACCTCCTATTCTGTACTGCACCCCCCCCCCTCTTTCTAAGCAAGTTGTCTCAAATTATGTCAACTTTACCGTCACGAAACATTTTGATCTTCGACAGAAGCGTATTTTATGGTCTCATAAAAAAAACGTCTTCTGCGACGAATTTTCTGGAATATTCAAACAAGCTGGAGCAATGTTGATAGACTACCTGGCATCTGCTTCACTATAGAATTCTCGGGCTACGATATCTTCAAACAGCTCACCGCCCGTGACTCTGAAATGAAACTATTCGGAATATCCTCTAAAAATGTGGCAATATTGAATTACTCATATTTTAGCGCTTATGAAATAATATGAGTATAAATCATAGCCCTTATGAGAGACGCTTATGTTGTACTCAGACAGGGCGGACAATGGGCATTGTTTGAGGTAGAACAACCGAGTAAGCCACTCTGAAGTAGGCATGCACCAACCATCTCATCCCTTATTCGCTTGTCGATATCTTCTAAGCTTTCAAAAACGTAATTCAGTTATTGAATTCTCAGCTTTCCACTGAAAACACTCGTGACATTTTACCATCTCAACTTAATTGCGTCAGTCCCTCCAGAAAATTTCCAGACATAACAGGCATCACTAATGTTTACACGCCTGGCGCGCTCTTGGGAGAAACTATGAAGTCAACAGTTACTGACATAGTTTGCGGGACCCTGTAGAAAGACGATTTTTCCATCCCTCCAAAGGATCCATCGAAGAAACTTGCACAGGGCGGCGTGGTCTGTCCTCTTCGACTCAATTCGATCAAGTCTCCTATTTCAACCACAATCTCTTCGCAACCACTTCAGTTCGGGATCATGTGTCACCACGTCATGACCGTAGACGATTAACTTTTTGACTACCAGTCAAAACTAGTCTCAAATTATATCCACAAGTATGATAGACATTACAGGGGCAGCATCGATAGGCTGCGTTTATACTTTGCGGCAGCGTAGCAGCGTAGCGTAGCGCTTCCAGCGTACGCCAGCGGCAGTGCCGAAGAGAGGATGCATATCGATCTAGCTTCACCAGCGTCACCAGCGGCACGCTAGCGTACGCCAGCGTTTCTCCAGCGTTTCACCAGCGTTTTGCTAGCGTTTGCAGCGGCAGGGGAGTAGAGACTATGGGAGAGCTGGAGGGTACAACACATCGATTGCGCGTCTCTCACTCGCCCTTAGTCTCTACAATGCACATCGCTTCTGCGTCTCCGACGGCCCATAGTCTCTACAATGCACATCGCTTCTGCGTCTCCGACGGCCACATAGTCTCTACAATGCACATCGCTTCTGCGTCTCGACGGCCACATGGTCTCTACAATACACGTCGATTCCGCGTCTCTCACGGCCACATAGTCTCTACTCCCTGCCGCTGCAAGCGCTAGCAAAACGCTGGTGAAACGCTGGAGTAACGCTAGCGTACGCCAGCGTGCCGCTGGTGACGCTGGTGAAGCTAGATCGATATGCATCCTCTCTTCGGCACTGCCGCTGGCGTACGCTGGAAGCGCTACGCTACGCTGCCGCAAAGTATAAACGCAGCCTATGTAATAAGAAATCTATGACCAGAAAGTATAAATAAATAGTATGGAAAAGCACTTACAAATCGAATACGAGGTAATGAAACGACTCCTCTTGAATGCTGTCATGAAGACGAACTGAAAATCCAGGTTTTCTTCACTTCCAATTGTTTTCCATATATTAAAAAAAAGAAAAAAAGAAAGAGAACACTATAAGACTTCTGCATAAATTAGACTACAATGCTCGAGTCTTCTCTTCTTCGTTTTCTACCGTCCCAGGGCACTTGTCAACCGGGAGCCTCTCTTCTCTTTCCTTTTTTCCCCTCCTTCCTCCTTTTCCTTCCTTCCTTCTCTGATCCCTCCTCCTTTACCTTCTCCCTTCAACTACTGGAACTGGACTGGTGAATTCCTCCAGAAAATAGCACTAGACTCTCGCACCGAGAGCACGTCTGGTTGGCAAGTGCCCCATAACCCACCAGTACAGTCTTGCACTAGTACAGTCTTGTTCGCTGCGGACGGTGGGGCGTGCCAGGAGGGTTGGCTTTGGTGCGTCATCAGCTGTTTCTCCATCAGTTGTGGAAGCTGGTAAGCGACCGCAGTTGCTTGAAAACTGGTTGACACCGCGCCAAACCCAACCTCCCCTGATGAACATCACCATCCGCGGCGAACAATACTGTGGTTTTGGGTATAGTCAGGTTAGAGACATCCGAAGCGACATCGCGGGCTGACTGTGCAGCAGAGGAAAACCATTTCCTAGCTAGAGGATCTGACGGCTGCAGCATTGCCACGTTCAGTTAGCTGGACCCTGTACGAATGAAGCGATTGTAACGAACTTTTTTACTGCCCTCACAGCGGCTCAGCTGTAGTGAATTACCCTCATAATTTTGGTAGGGAAGAGGAATAGGCGATTCTGGAGAACATACATACAATGCCAAGGAACGAAATCTTTTATTGGTAGAGGGGTGGGGGGGAGGAATCTCGACTCGGTAACTCGAAACTCGCTGTAACTCAGGGCTAGACTCGCCTGTGGGGTGAACACAAAAGCAAGCACTAGTAAAATCCTGACATGGAGATTCATGACTTCGCTGGCAACCTGTGCAGAAATCTTGTGCTCTTTCGAAATAAGTCTTTCAGAGTCGAAAATTTAAAGCCCGATTTATGGAATCAAAAACTGAAATCATGAGTTCACCTATCTCAAGGGAAAAAAAGTCAATGCAGGTTTAAATTAAACCAATGCAAATTCTATGCAAACATAGTTAGACCATGAAAAAGACATTTGCTGAACGTCGTTTGTACTCACCTATATTAGGATGCTGAAGCTTCCGGCATATTCTCGCTTCACGTTCTAATTTCTGAAAATCCCTGGCCGAAAGCTTCTTTGTATTGATGATTTTGGCAGCAAACTCTGCTGCTGTCGCTTTATGTACGCATCTGCGCACTACAGAGAAAGCACCTCTGGAAATGATACCAGCATTATATAAAAAAGTCATTAATGAAAACAATCTGTGCAAAACGAGTTTTTGCCGCTTGTGACATATTTGAAGCCTTCTTTGGAGATGCACAGCCTTTTCAAAAAATTGTATTGTAACAGCGTTCCAAACCAATGACCTTGGATATTGCCCATTTCAAAATTTGCAACGACTCCACAAAAAATCGCAAATTGCAGTGCGAAAGGGCGGCCAATACCCGTCAACCATGGTACACTATGAATATGCAGAAGCAATGGAGCACATTGGTTGGCAGAAATATTTGCTGACCGGCAAAGAAAATATGAGGAAGGCGGAACAAATATCTTCCATAAAAAAACCTTATGGTTAGCAAAAACTTCAGCATGTGAAAATATTCAATTTAGGTAAGTAAGTGATTATGATGCAGGAAATGATATTCAGTTCTGGCAGTGACCGTGGAGCTAACCACGGCAAAAACGATCGGTCCAAGAGGCCGTCTGAAATGAGATGTGAGCTGGCGCATGCACGGATGGTTTTGAAACTGCCTCTCAAGAATGCTGAATGATTTTCTGAAAAAAATTATGGTGGTTTTTTGAGGGCGCGCTCAGCCCGAAAAGCCTCCATAACTTTTCTCGGAGGATTGTTTAGCAGACCCAATCTCAATCTCACTGGATCACTTCGACCAATCATCCTTCCCTGGTAAGACCAATAAAGCTGCATATATATGTGCTGGCTAACCATATAATCTGGGCGTGCTGCACCATTAAATCCACGAGGATAAGTACAGTGTTTACAGACGAGTCCCTACTTCTCGCTTAAGCCACGTTCATACTTTGCAATTCGGTCGTGTAGATTGGGAATCGCCCGACTGCAACCTCATTCCATTTTTAAACGATTCTCAGCAGTAGTGTCCAAAAGAGATTCTATCCTGCCATGAATGAATTTAGCAGTTGCACCTGGACAACTATTAATAATGGAGCGCGGCAGGTCGCAGTCGTGCCGTTCCCAAATCGTGCGATCGCTTGAGTCGTGCAATACAAACGTAATCCTATCAAGATTTCATAATAAAACAACTTATCCAGGCAGACAATTTCTCAATATGGTCAAGTCCGAGCTGCAAGTGGGATTACCAGTCGTTTACTAACCCTTGATAGAAATAGTGATACGGGCAAGACTGTGTTCATACTTTGCAGCAGCCTCCACGAGCGTCCACTAGCGACCACCTAGGAGAGTATGGTTTCGATCCAGCGTCTACCAGCGCCTACCAGCGTCCATTGTCGTCCGCCAGCCACAGTGTGTCGAGGGACTAGGGAAATATGGATATGGATCTAGCGTTTGCCAACGCGCACTAGCGACCAGGAGTAGAGTATGAGGAAGTAGGAGTGTGGCAGACTACTGGTAGAGTGTGGAGAAGTAGGAGGAAAAATACAGCTGGATTAGGCGTTACGAAATTGTGGCGTGTGCAACCACACCGTACTATTACACGGTGCCGTGCACCTGGTTGCTGGTGGACGCTGGTAGAAGCTGCCGTTTCCTAGATATATCTACACTTTCCGAGTCGCCGACGCTGACGGACGCTCGAAACGCTGATGGTCGCTGGTGGACGCTGCCGCAGAGTACGAACGCAGCCTAACCTGTCCCACATCTCCTAACACTAGCGTGCTAGGAGGTGTGGGCTAGGGAGGAACGCTGAAAATGGCTTTGCTGAGCGCTGTGCACTTCACAAAATCAAATGAACACCATCTTGGAAAAAAAATTTAATAGTGGAGAAAACCGCTCTAGGCCAGCAAAGATTAGTGCATGAACATACAAGATTTTGGATGTGGAAACATTTCTACAACTCACTTGCCCAACTCCTCCTTAACGTCGTAATTGTCGCTGAATTTTGTTGAGGCGTTCATAGTAGGACCGACAACCATGCCCTGTCGAAGACGCTTCTCACCTGAAATAACTTTGAAAATCAATGAACTGCACCTAGGTCTTGGAATAAAATTTTGGGATGAAATGTAGTTCCTGGAAACAGAAATTCGGCGTTAGCTTCCCATCACTTTAGAACAACTGTCAATAAGGGACCAAACAATCCAAGGGTTTGGTTCGCAGAACCCTACCGGAAGTACCACTTTGCCCAAAAAAATACGAGATAAATCGCTCGCAATATTAATTCAGCAAGGCTAGAGTTTTCTCCTAACGGAAGCAATATCGTGAAATTCGAAGAATTTGCAAACATTCCATTCCCAATCTCTTAGGATCATAAGATACTCAAGTCCAAAGAAGTAAACTTGTGAAAATGAAGGCGCTGATGTATCGAGCAGTACTCTACAAGTAAAGGTAAAAACCTCACTCAACTAATGTTGAGTAAAGTTCAACAGTTCAACATATGTTCATTTGACAATTTGGTGGAAGAAACACATAAATGACAAGGCGTTGACCGTGTGCAGTGCTGAGCCCACCCAGATAAGGCTCTAGGCTTAACAAAAGCTCATTATCTCTTCAAATGTCTCCTCCTTTCTTCTGCTGACGACATCATCTCAGAAAAACGCGTGCATATCCGGAAATTAAAGGATAAGCCCACCCTTTTCCAAGGCTGTTACACACCATTTCGCCACTGGAGTCCAACAGTCCTCGCCTAGTTAGCAAATCAGTTAGCAAATGTTATCGTAGAGCCCTGACATAAAGAGTGATAAGAAAGACCTCGGCTCATGGAGTGTACTCTTGCGACATACTACGGTTTTAGGGGGCGCGCAGGAATTTACATCGGCCACTTCCATGTCTCATCTAAGCATCCTCAGGATTCGCCAAACCAGTGTGCCAGAGGTCACGGATGCTCGGTAGCTATTTCGACTTGTAGGGTGCACAGGAATCACGAACACTAGCGGGTTGTTCGGTCATCTGGCTTCTTCCGGGAACCTGCACGCCTACGCCTTCATCATAAGCGACCCAAATTGCGCAGCCGCATCTAGCTGATGCAAAATTTGTAGGTTCTCCTGAGCTCGTCAGCGCTAATAACTGGCTTCATCATCTCGTGATCATAGAAGTACAGGCGTACGGCAAGCTCTCGCTCACCGAAAAAACCCAAGGATGTTTCGCCTTGGATTTTCAATATAGTTTGAACTGCTTGATCTCTTGTACGACGTCAACTATGACGAGAACGTTGCGCCACTGACTAACAATAAGTGTCTGCTTTGCCCTCACCTCTCCCCCCCCCCTCAAATAATTACCTCAGAATAATCACGACATCAAGGACATGCGCTTCCGATTGTTCAGGTACAGTCCTCATCATTGCGGACCGGTGGGGCGTGTCAGTGCGGCTGCGTTTGGCGCGGTGCCAAAGTCGTTCTGCACCAGTTGTTGAAGCGGGCAAGTGACATTACTGTATTATATCCTTCGTATTACTCGTTTTCTACCACTTTTTGTCGCATACGCGTTTCAACAAAAAGGCTGAGAACGGCTTCAACAGTGTGCACACTCATACTGGCTGACACGCCCCACCGGTCCGCAATGATGAGGACTGTAACTCGCAGTGTTGCATAAATGGCAAGAAAACTTGAGGTATTCCGGAATGCCGAATGCAGGGTATGTAAAGCAACACCCCCCCCCCTTCCCGGAAACTGCAAAGGAAATCAAATCAGAGCGCATCCAAAAATAACAGCTAAACGGCGCAGTAACCGATGCACAAACAGGGAGATATGGAACAAAGAAAGCATCGATTTTGATATCGAATGCAAAGTTTTGGCCCACATGGGAAATAACTCATCTGGGAAGGCGTTGTGAGCATTGCAAATTTCAGCATGAAATCTGAGAATGAGGAACGAAGGATTGTGCAGATACTACAGGAGACTTTCGCCGTTTATGCCACAACAATTTGACTAACGCATGCTGTCGCCGCAGAACATGAGGAATCCTATGTGGAGCTTACCTTACACGATATCTCCACTTTGAACTTTTCCACCCCTTCCTTCTTTCGATTCGACTGATCTGAATCTCCTCAGCTGTTGCTTTTTTTATATTTTCACCATTTCAGGCGCACATTTCACTCCCGTGCTCGACATCATTCATGCATGTAAGAGCAGATACATAGTTCAGTGGTTGATTTTGATTCTGTTGACATCGCTGAAGGAAAGAACTCCACCCTCAACCTCTGATACTTGGCACTGGTGGTAAGAAGGGGAAAGAAATTTAATCTGGAGAGAGCCTCTTATCTATTTTTACCAACTGATATGACTATCTGTCACCCGTCCATCAATACCCCTGTCGCTAAGTCTTTATAATCCGCGGTGTAAAAGCTCTACCACCTTAAACAACAACGCCCCTTATGAGCCCATATCACTTGTTATCGCTTTTTCTCACCTACCGTTCATGTCCCCATCTCACCTTCTATATGACATACTGGAATCAGCGTCTAGCTGATGCTGTGACCTGCGTTATGAGTATGGTAATTCTTCCTTTTTTACGCCTCTGAATCTTGTCAGCTGTCACCACTAATAAAGTTCCTGTATCTATTGGCAGGACTAAGAGCTGCTTGATTGAAGGCATAAGGCACGGTAGATTGGTACTCGGTCCAGAATGGTAGCAGGGGCACTACATAGCGGCAAAATGGCACAAAAGCGGAGTGAAACCGTCACGATCCCAAGCCTTAAAATTGAAAAACAATTACGTTCAAGTTTCCCGCTCATGAGAATAACCGCTACGGCAGACAGGGGACAGGGTACAGCATCGTTGTGCGAAACCCATAGGGGGGTCGTACTTGGCCGCTGGGGAGGGGGGGTCGTAATCTCAAGGGTCACTCAGAGCCGGGCAATGCTTCGACATTTCAGTTGATAGTGGGAGTGGAGCTATGGAAGTCAAGATGTTAAAAAATGAAAATTATTATGAGTGTATTCTTTACAGATTTAACTGCTCCGTTTAACAGCCCTCTTTTCATGGGAAATCCCCAGAAAGGGGATCGTACTTGGCCGCGGGGGACGTGGGGAGTATCGCAAAAGTAGGCTCGCTAGGCATCAAACAGTACAAAAGTGTCATTGCTAAGTTTGATGGAACGGACGGAAAGCTGCAGAAGACCCGGATGTAAGGAGGACTACAAAATAATAAAAAATTGATTAGCAATATAGCAAGAATAAATAAATAAATATCAGTTAATAGCATGAACTCGTAAGTACGTAGATGACTAAATAATACGTCTCAAACAGATTCGTGCGTATTGTCCTTTCCAAACCCTGAATAGCCGAGCTCCTCTTTCACTCATTTGAAGGGAAATATGTGTTTTGAAGGCACACTGAAGTTTCCGAAGGTGTATCCTCACAATGGCACAGAAGGAGTCGATTTTTCGGGTGGGTCAGAGGGTAGCGCGTCTGTGACCATCTATTAGGTTCGGCGGGAAAGTTCTGTCACATTTTTTCAAACTAGGCTCTTTTTATAGAGAGGAGTGTAAGATCAAAATTGTACAGCAATGTTACTGCGGGGTCCTTGCCAGTGTTTGAGCACCTCATGGATGCCATCGCTTCACTATGCAGGGAGACACGACGCAAAGTTGGACACCATCTCAACTCGACTTGAACTTGGGTTATGGAGGTTTTCTCGTCCGCATAACGATCGATTACGGAAGGCAACTTGCTATTAGAAGGGGCGATGTCTGTGCTACACAATTGCAAGGGGAGAGAGATCAAGCTCCATTGCATGAGGTACGGCTCGAACTTTTTTGGACCAAGTGCGTTGCACTATCTTGGTGAGGGCCGGCTGTGCGGACAAATTTTTCCCTCTGATCCACGATACGCCTTAGATCTCGTAGCTGCTTTGCGTACGCCTTGACCAAGGAAGCAGCTTCTTCATCCAGCAGTTTCCCGACCCATAGCTCCCTCAAGCTGAGTTTGCAGGTAACCCAAACCTCACTTCGTCATCAAAACTGTAGGCTCCCTAGGCTCTTGAAGCGTCACTGTCGTGGTAAGGTTGCTCGATGATTGGGGGCATCGTGCTTATTCAGCTCCATCAATTTGGCATCTGCAGCTAACACGCTGGCGTCAGGGTGGTGGGTGAAATAGTTTGTGGAAGTTGTTGGATGGGTCGGGGCTGATGGTAGCGGATAAAATCCTTGTGCATATTGCAGAAGAAGGAGCAAGAGGCAAGCGAGTGGTACTAACAGAGAGACCACTCCTTGTTGTATAAGAGCTTACATTACCGGTTACCACTCTTGGTAATGGGCAAGTAATTTGAGTTCGGAAAAGAGTGACAGAACTGGAGTGACAGAACTTTCCCGCCAACCTAATAGAATATCTCCTGAACTAACGGGTCTTCAGGAAAACTGTAAAGCTTATTGGAAAGAGAAAAGATAGGCGGTTTCAAGACGATTTTAATCCTGATGAAATTGCGTTCGAAATAAGTAATCCTCGTGTGAAGCATAAAAAACCCGCTTGCCATTTACCCCTAGCCGATCCGAAACCCATCCGAAATATTTCACGAACGGGGAAACATTCAGATTGCAACTGGGTAGAAAACGCAACAGTAGGAACATTCCCGTTGCATGCTGCTAACCATTCATCAAAAGCCGCGCCCCTCAAAGAGATATAACCCCCGAAAAGACCCCAGGACGTTGGCAGGCCCAACAACCGCGCTCCAATGACGTTTTTCCAATGAAAGCGGTCGCAACGTTGCGATCGATAATAGCCAAGTATAGAACGATATACTGCCGCCTGGTTATCCATTTTTTCATTTGGCTCCGCATTTTTTTGTATTTTTCATGTTTCGCTTTGTTGTGTCGTGCATGTTTTCATGATTTCCCCGTCACCATTCATTGAATGCACATCTGGGGCCTGACACGCTGACCTTGGGGCTATTTTTTCACCAATTTAGCTTATCAATGATCACCATTAGTCGCTGTTTCGATTGTGTTCCTTGTTACAAGTTGCATGTCATACATGGTTGTCGA